CCGTACGGAGGCCGCCACGGCGGCTGTGGCGGACGAGGGGGAGCTGCATACCTGTGCTGATGCTGTCCTCCGTAGCCGCTGTGAGGTCCGTGCTGAGGCCCACCGCCCCAGCCCCCCCCACTGTAGCTCGGCTGCTGCGGCGGCGGTCCATGAAGTTGCTGTTGCTGGGGATGCTACTGTTGAGGCTGCTGTTGCTGATGCTGCTGTTGCTGATGCTGCTGTTGCTGGGGCTGCTGTTGGTCCTGTTTCTTCTGACGGTCGCGTTGAGTGTGGCACTGGGCGTTGGTGTGGGACGAGTGCGGATGTAGGTAGCAGTGGTCGCTGTCTGCTCCTCTCTCTCCTGCTTTCTTGTTTCCTCTCCCTCTGCTCCTCCTGCTCCGACTCCGGGCGCCTCCGTCTCCGTCCTGTCCCCCGCCGTTTCCACTCGACCCGTTTTGAACACGTCCATCGCCCCGGGTGCCACCGAAAGCGACGAACGCGTGCCCCGCGCCATTTTTTGGTTCCTCCTCCCGACGGCGAAGCAATTCCGCATGGGCATCTCGTACACCCTGCTCATCTGTGATACTTGGTCTTCGGGTTCTGTTGATGACCTAATCAACCAATCCAATGCAGAGCGATGTGGCTCTACACTAACGGTTCTTGTGCACTGATTCTTGACCGTCACTTCGAGACGATAAAAACACATGTGAAGGCGGGAAACACCGTTGCGAGGGAGCGGTGGGACGCCATCGACTGCGCTTGGGGGTTGAAGCAGAACGATATCTTCGACGAAGGAGAGTGGATCGCGCAGATTGATGGTGAAATCCAGGGCATTACCAGCAGCACCCGCCGGTCCTTGTCATCCCAACAAGATGCCAGCAGCGCACGAGGTGCTGCTGCTCCTTCTCAGCACCCACCTGCTGCTGCAGCGGGTACCGCGAGGAGGAAGGTGGATCGAGGGAAGCACGCCAGGGAGAGAGCTGCGAAAGGCACTTTAGGCGGCAACATTTGCCACGCGTTCTCGATTGGCAGTGGACAACCGGTGAGTTCAGTTACATATGTATCCGACGCACGCTGTTGCTTTGTTTTGCTACAGGTGTTTATTTTAATTCCCGATGGTTTAAGTAGAGGAAAAATGAAAAAAAAATAGGTAAGTTTATTAGTCTAATGTGACCCAAACGAAACAGACGTCATCTCCCCACTCTCTCGTGTGATTCACGATAATCTTTTCAAGGAAGTATTCGTTCAGATTGCATAGATACTTTTGCCAGCGGCATCCACGGAAGTTTGAATTCAACAGCGCCACAACTAAAGGCGACTGACACGTCACATGGCTCGTTGAATCCGCTACACGGCAATTCCGCCCTTTCCCATCGCACCGAGCAGATTGAGCGGACTCGTGGTGGAGTGAAAGAGTTCGTATCCGGTATCAGCTTTCCGCCTCCGGCCCCGGAGTCCCGCCGATCCTGCTCTCACTGTTCCACGATCTTCGTGAACGAGCAAGGCCTTGGGATCCACGTGAGAACGCAGCACAGCAGTGCAAACATGTCCAACGGCGTGCGGCTGCGGCGGATGCTACGGAAGAATCTCGAAGGGCGTGTCCTGCCGTGGGGAGAAGCCGGGCCTGGGAGTTGTTGGCAAGTGAAGGTCGATGATGCGACGGGGGCGGCTTCGGTTGTCCTCCAGCGGAAGCGCTTTCTCGATCTAGACTTGGAAAGCGACGGCTTTATGGACCGCGAAACCAAGGAAACTCGTGGAGCTCCCAAGCGCAGGCGATACGACTATAGCTTCAAAGTCAATGCTGTCAACCAGCTGCGCATCCTCGAGGACAACGCCGCGGACCTCTGGAAGGAGGAGGAGCGCACGCCTCTTCAGTACTTAGAGGATCGTCTCAGGGTTCACTACAGCAACATCGTGAAGTGGGCCAAGGACGAGAAGGCCATAGTCGCGGCGGCAGCAGACGACGTGAAGAAGAGCCTCCTCGCCAAGCAGCAGCCTAAGCGGTGGTTTCCTGAGGCAGAAAAGCGGCTTTACAAGATGTTCGTGGAGCGGCGTAAGAGGAAGCTGAAGGTATCGACCCTGTGGCTGATGATCGCGTTCCGGAAGCTCGGGCGAGAAATGTATCCCGGGGACCAACGGGCGGCGGCGTTCCGCGCATCCTTCAGGTGGGCACGAGAATGGGCCAAGAGGCACAACTTGTCCAAAAGACGTCGGACCAACCTCAAGAACAAGTCTGTTGAGGAGCGCCTACCAAAGATCCAGCGCTTCCACCGACTGTTTCTCGATCTCCTCCAAGAGCCGGTACGGTACAGGGCGCCCGACGAGTCGTACGTATCGGCGATTACGACGGTCGCAGAGAGCGAGTCCAGAGTTCCCAAGTATGGCCAATTCCAGCTCTGGGAGCGTTGGAATATGGATCGAGTGTCTTTGGCGTTCGTGAACGGGCTGCTCGATACGTGGGAGGAGCGAGGTGCGAAGCGTGTCGCCATCTCACAGCCCTTTCCTGGCCTAGAGAAAAGGCAGTGCACCATGCAAGTCATCTTTGGTCAGGGTGAGAAGACCTTGGGGAATTTCGGTGATTTTCCGAGGCACGGGGAAGCGGATCTCGCCGGTGGAGAAGGCTGCGTACCACAAGGACGTGGACGTGTTTTTCCAGGAGAATACTTGGGCCGACCAAAAGTTCTGTATGGAGTGGGCTAAGAGGTCCTACCGCGAAGGCCTGATGCGCGGGCGGGGTGAGCCTCCCAAGGCGAGGTCCATTCTTATCATGAACAACTTGCACGCGCAGACGACGGACGAGTTCAGAGAGTATCTTGCGAAGGAGTGTAACACTCTCGCCTGGTATGGCCCTTCGGAGTGCACGGACGAGGTGCAGCCAGTTGATACAGGAGCCGGACGATTTATCAAGGTGGAAGCTGGAAGGCAGATGGACATGTGGCTCGAGCAGTCGGACAACCTCGAGAGAGGTGAGAGGTGGGAAACCGCGGCGCTGACAGCTTCTGATCGGCGGGTACTGATCACTCAGTGGATTGGAGCGGCCATGGCAAGACTCAACAGCCAACAGGCGTTCCGATTCCGCCTTTTCGAAAAGTGCGGGCATGGCCATGACTGTGGACGGGTCAGGCGATGATCGGGTCACCTTGGAGGGTTTGGACAAGCCGAACACCTTCGCTAACGATGAAGACTGTAGCGAGGAGGAAGAAGGTCTGGAGAACGGCAGCGATGAGCCTGAAGGGCGGGGGAAGGAGGGCGATGGACGTGAGACGGTCGTGGAGGGCGCTGATTCCAGCGATGATGAAGACGACGGCGGTAAGTTTGATTTGCACTAGACCCAATCTTTGTCATTTCCTTGTTGATGACGATGTCCTTGTTGATATTTGCTTGGATTATGCTGATGTTCTGTTTCCGCGTTCACGACTACGACCAAATATGATGGGTTCATGTTGAGTTTTGGCCGTGACACCGTACTTTTTGTGGTGTTTCACGGTGCCCCGTTCGCAGGCACGTCTCAAATCCAGACCGATGAGCTAGCTCTTCTCGACGACGACGACGACAGCATGGACCCACAAGACCCGGAGGACGAAACACAAGGAATGGAGATCCCGACAGGCTTTCGCATTCAACAAGTTAAACCCGTTGCTCTTGACAGATTGCTTTTGTGACGTGGAGTGCTCGTTAGGCTGGGGATGGGGTGGTTTGGAGGGTTGAACATTCAGCAATCTCAGCAGGACACTCGCCATCTGTACGACTACTGTGTGCAGTTGGAGCTAGACCAGAGTACGCGCAAGATGAGGCTGCCCTTACACAAGTACACCTGAGATCTGGATGCGGCGGCAGGCTCCTGGGTTTTGCTTTAGAGCGTTAGTGGATCGGGGAGGGGACGTAGGACCAACGTCACCCTTGTGGACCAAGATGGTTGACAGTTGCTGCTGCATGCCTTGGTGTGTTCTTGTACCAAACAACAGCATTGTTCCTCATGCTAAACACTATAAACACTCCGCCGAGTGCAGTTGACAGCTGCCAACAAAGTACGTCGTCGTACAACGTACGCCAACAGGGCCAATTGATGTTGACATAAGAACAAGAACATTTCGCTGGAGAAAAATGGGACGGCGAAATAGCAACATGACCAATAAGAACACGTGCTCGGGTTGGGGCAGTCAATAAGAACTGAGCCTCGCTCAAAGTAGGAGGTTCTTTAGTGCGGGCCTCAGCTGTACCATCGGTACAGCACCGTCGTCGAGAGGGGTGAGCTCCGGTAGCAGAGTTTTCTACGCGGTGCCGGCCCGGGGGGACGGCCGGGGTGAAGGCACTAGCGGCTATAGCGGTACCTTCGGTAGCAGCACCGGCGGCGAGAATTGTAGCGGAGCAAGTAGTGTATGAGTGTTGACAGAGTGGTGACCCTGGCGGCAGGGTTTTCCTCGCGGCGGCGGAGGGGCAGACGGCAGGGGCGCTGGCACTCGCGGCTAGATAGAGCAGCAGCATCCGCAGCAGCACCGGCGGCAAGAGAGGGGACCGCCAGCGGTCATGTTTTCCCCGCGGCGGCGGCCGGCCGGGCGTGAACTCGCGGACGGAGCGGCGGCACCGTTGATGAGAGCGGCGACGACAGGAGCGGTTAACGTGACGGTGGCGACGGAGGGTGGACTGGGCTAACGCACACCATGAGCCAACCCGGCAGACGTTGATCCGTCAGCAGCGATACAAGGTGACTGTGGTTCAGTCGAGAAGAGCGTTTCTACGCAAAGGAGTGACTCAACCTTCGCCCGAAAAAGAACAGTCCACGACCGGCACCGAGTGGACAAAAAAATACGTTATTCCCCCCCCACGTGATAATGAAGTACACGCGCCGACATATCGGTTCGACGAGACCCCGACCGCGTGGCCGCAGGCGTCACCTTGTACCGCTGCTGACGGATCGCCGTCTGCCGGGCTGGCTCATGGAGTGCAGTAGCCCAGTCCACCCTCCGTCGCGACCATCACGGTAGCCGCTCCTATCGTCGCCGCTCCCATTAACAATGCCACTGCTCCATTCGCGAGTGAGTGAGTGCGTCCCGGCCGACCGCCGGCGCCGCGGAGAGCACATGACTGCCGGTGGTCCCCCCTCTCGCCGCCGGTACTGCTCCCGATGCTGCCGTGCGTGTGTGGATTGATGTGCAACTCTTCAACGAGTTTCGTCGGCGTTGCCTGTCTGAAGCTTTACATGTATTTTTTTCCGGGAAGCCGCAGCAAGTTCTTACCACGGCAACACCCTCGAGCACGAGACACAGCAAGAACAAAGTGGCTGAAGAATGAAGACGTTCAGACCGCAATGAAGACGTTGGAACTATGGTGCCGACGATCACAAGGCCAAAGAACAAAATCCGAAGAAAACCTACGATGACAGGATACATACAAAAGAACTACACGCTAAAGAATCGCACAAACAAACGCCTCAAGCAGCTCTCCCCGATCGGCTGACAGAGCCTGAAGCATGTTAGTCGTTTGGCGATAGGCTTTTCCACACCTGATGGACTGCAGCGGCACCTACGGCGAAAGGATTAACCCCTGGCGGCAGAGTTTGCCCCGCGGCGGCGGCGGCGGAGGTGGGGGAGACGGCCGGGGCGCAGGCACTCGTGGAGGGAGCGGCCGCATCGGTAGCAGCATCAGCGGCGAGAGAAAGTGGTGACCCCCGGCGGCCGGTGTTTTTCCGCGGCGGCGGGGGGAGACGGTCGGGCCGCAGGCACTCGTGGTGCGAGCGGCAGCATCGTCAGCAGCACCGGTGGTGAGAGGGGGAACCATCGGCAGGCATATGTTCCCTGCGACGCCGGCCGTGGGGACCGCCGGGGTGCATGCACTCGCAGCTAGTGTGGTGCAATCGGTACAGTAGCACTGGCGGCGAAAGGGTCGACCCCTGGCGGCAGGGTTTTCGCCGTGGCGGCGACGGCGGCGGGGGAGACGGCCGGGCCGCAGGCCCTCTTGGCGGGAGCACTAAAATGCATACCGCATTGGGCGTAACGGCGTGCTTGGTGCAGAAGGGGGAAGTGGGCAGCCGTCCTCGCCGCCATCGCGTCACGGGGCGAGATTTGTGACATCAAGACGAGGGACGATCCACGTAGCAGGGAAGACCAACATGTGGAGACACGAAGGAACGAGAAAGAATCGGATACTTGAAAAGTGCAGCAGATGTTGCTCTGTTTTGCCAATTTCCACGTCGTCATCTTCGCCGAGGGTTCGTGCTCGCCTGGGTTCTTCCGAACCGCTTGGGGTGTGTGGCGAATAGGCCTCTAGACTCGACGCGTTTGGTTGGTAAGCAGTCGGTTGGAGGCGAATCGAGACGAGCACGATGATGGGTGACTTGCACGAATTTGTTGTGTTCTCTGTTGCGTATCAAACCAAACCTGAAGACCAATCGGTTCACTTTTGGTGCCCGAGCATGCGGCATTTCCTCGTTTAGCATTGGTTTGAGAGTTGGACGTTGTTGCCCGCGATGACCCTTCTCGCAGTCTACCTGACCAGACACCCCATGGTCTTTACAGTAGTCCAGACATTCTAGTCTAGCCTTCTTCGGCGCCGTACCTGGCCCTGCCTCGGACTCCATGAACTGATAAACTTCATCATCATCTATCTCCAGGAGCAGGAGAGCTAGCTCCCTTCTACGCCGCCGCCGACAGCGCCTCCAAAAAAACGTCGGCGTGCCGAATCGAGAGATGTATCCTCCGTGGTCGCGGACAGTTGCTGCTTACAGCGATGTGGCAGGAAGGTTTCCGACCCTACAGAGCAGGAGTACAGCTTAGAGCTGCTCAAGGCCGAGCAAGGCCGAGCGTCAGCGGGAAAGAGTTGGAGAGCGAAGCTGCACGGAAGAACTTCGCCATCTAACATGTTCCACTCCAAGCAAGCACAAGCACAAGCTGTATGAAGCCAATCGGAGGGTGTGTGGAGAGTTCTTCAAGGCTGTGTTTTCTGTTTCCAACATCAGCAGTCAATGCCAGCCTTGCGGTCGCTTTGCCCACTCGGCGTGAAATTTGATTTTTCGCTGGGCCTGGCATTAGAGTATGTTCGCGTGAGAGGAAACTTTTTGGCCAATTGTTGTACGCCGGCCGATTTTTGTTCCCTCATTATAATATCTCTTCTCAATCGTCGGGAGCAGCTGTTAGTTGGCTATCTCCGGATTCCCCTCTAACATGAAGTTTTCATTTTTCGGTCGACGTTCTCGAGATTGCATTTCCTCATTTTGACTTGGTTTGAGAGTTGGCTATCTCCGGATTCTTCTCTAGCGCAAAGTTCTCTTTCTTCGGTCGACGCTCTCGAGATTGCTGCAACAGATGTCGGAGTGGGTTAGTTGGAGTGCAACAGCTGCTGCGACATCGTCAGCCATTCCTGCAAGTTTGGTACAGAAAGCTTGTTGCGTTTTTTGTAAGAAAATCGCGCTCTTCTTCGACTTTCTCTACTACGAAAGAGTAGCTCGCCGCACCCTAGACGCCAGACCGAAGCCACACACCGCCCACACGTTCGATAGCAATTCAGGGCTGCCGGTCATACTCTATCCTCCACCAATACATACCGACCGCAAATTCCCATCCTTCGGTTGACGCGTAGACGCGTATCGCGGTGTGCGGAGCGTAAATTCACTGCAAGTTGGTGGACCGTGCGGTGAGCGAACGTTCTTTTTGAATATATCCCCTAGATCTCGCTTGGAACTGAAATGAAGGTGACATGAATGCCCGGATTAATTTGCGCATTAGAATCAACCGGCTTTCGTTGTGTATTGACATTCTGTATGCGATTCTCCTTGATCCTCGCTGTGAGTCGCGAAATCGCTGTGAAGTGAACGTTTTCATATTGAACCATCTGGTGATGGCTTCCGGGGTCCGGTCTGCAGGTTTGGGTGAAGCAAACGGTTTTCGCCTACTTGCAGCTATTCACGCGGCTGCCGCCGCTTCTGAGCGCGAAATATTTGGGACAAGCCTCGCAATTCTTGTCCCATACCAGCAACGTTGCATTGTCTCCGTACGGTTTCTCGTAGTATGAAATGTGGATGAAATTTCTCTTGGGATTGACTGGTCCACCGCCGCAGAGAGTATAATGTTATTTTTCACGGATAATATTTGGTGAGGAATGAATTCGGTGATCATCACTTGCCCCAGCTCACGCCATACATGACTTGAGCTTTATCCCTCCAACACGAAATGGGGTCGCGGGAGGCATGAACGCACTGTTTGAGCTTGTGCTACAACACAGCAGTTTCCGCCGCTTTGCCGACAGAAGCTAAAGTTCCCTAATGCTTCTGGAGCTGGGATATGGCGCAGAGTCGCCGAAACCTTCCGTCGCAAAACCTTGCCGTTGTTGGCGTCATCTTCAAAAACCGTTGTCCCAATTTCAATATAAACTCTTGTCTTCCGGCAGGATCAACGGACGCGGGCGCCTTCCGTGTTCGAATATTTTCGTTCAAACTTTGACCCAAACAACGGAATAGTGAAGCACTCACACCAATAAACAGCCAAAGAACTCGGCACCGTCATTCTTAATAATTCCACCCACGTTTGAGTTCTTACACTACGGTCATCCCATCAAGATCTCACATCGCCTGCATCTAATTGTTCCTATTGCCAAATAATAGCGCTTTCACAATTTTACCCTAGCACGATATGGTTCCATTGATCCACTCAATCATCCAAAAACCATCTACCCAAGTAGACTCTTGGGATCTGCCTATCCTACGGTGCTCGTCCTTTCAACCGCAGCAGCCGAACGGTGCTCGTCAGTTCCCAAACCTCACTCTGCTACATGC